CGCCAATGCTTATGTGAGGTTTTGACCTATCAAATTTTTGTGCTACTTTTTCTGCCATAAATTAAGTTTTATATATTTTATTATTTTAGGGTTATTTTGATAATCCTGCTTAATCAACTACCTTTCTTGCTTTCGACTGGCAAATAAAATTAAAATTAAACAAATCAGACCAATTATTACTGCTCCAATTCCCAAGCCAATGGCTCAGTTTAGTTTATTATTACCCTCATTTTTAGACTGATCCTGGGCGGGTTGAGGAAAGAGTTTTTGACCTTTACGTAGGTTTTCTAGTTCTGCTTTGAGAGCAGCCAGAGCCTGTTCCAATTCCTTTTTTTTGAATTTATTTTCATCCCCGTCACCGCTCGTCCCTAATTTTCCAATTTCTTGCTGGATTTGTCCTATTTCGACTTCGAGTTGGTTTATTCGATTATTTACTTGGGTTTGTGAAGGTAGCGAGGAAGGAGGAGAAGAGGAATTAGAAGGGGGGCGAGACAAATTAACCGAATTTTCGTAGTTTTCCCATTTTTTCTTTCCCTCTTCCACCGTTTTAATCAAATCTTCGAAAAAATGAGGAATTGTCCCCGCTAACTTTTTAAAAGTTTCTTTTTGTTCCTCTTCCGAAGAAGAACCTTTTGCCCCTAATTCCTCTAATTTATCGTAGAAACGATAAAAACGATATACCATATTATATCCTTCGGGGTCTTCCTGGCATAAAAAAGTCATAATTTTGTCTTGCTGACTTTTATCTTTTTTTATGTTTTTCTGCTGTTCGAGGCGAATTAAAAGGTCGTTAACATTAACCGGATAATTTCGTCGTCTTTTGTGATGCTCTTCAATCCGTTTTATAATATTGTTTACTCATTCTTCCACCGTCAAGTTACCTAAAACAATTTCCTTAATACGATGTCTGTTGAGAGCAACGTTGTTTTCCAAGACCGCTATTGCTTCGAAAAATAGAGCAAAAGTATTACCGTTTTTAACTTCCAAGATGATAGTGGCTAACCAATCAGATCATTTATCTTTTTCTGGACCTTCGGGCAACATTTTCAGAGTAGGAAGTTCTACTTTCTCAATCTGTTCGGCTCAATTTTTAAATTCGCTTTGCGTTATTTTTCCATTCATATGCTATATATATATATATATATATGTTTTATTATAATTTTGTCTTATCTTTTAATGTATTTTACAATTTTTCTTCTTTCAATATTTCTTCTAGAATATTAGCAGGAACCTCTTGATAGTGCGATAAATGGGTTGAACAATCTCCGCGACCCTTGGTTATTTCTCGTAAAGTAGTTGAATAATTAAGTATCTCTCGCAAAGGGGCTTTGCCGCAAATATAACTACCATCTTCCCTTACTTCAGTAGTTTCAATAATCGCCCGCCGAGAAGTTAAATTAGCCAAGATGTCGCCCATGTAATCTTTGGGCACCACTACTTCTGTCTGCATAATTGGTTCTAATAAGGTCAATTTAAATTGGTCGGAATTTTTCAAAAAAGCATCTCGACCAGCGGTTTCAAAAGCCAAATCAGAAGAGTCAACCGGATGGTAACCACCATCCGTCAAAGTAACCTCTACATCTACTACGGGATAGCCCAGTAGAGTTCCTTCCGAAAAGGCCGCCCGCAGACCTTTCTTTATGGCCGAAACAAAACAATTTCCCTTCCCTACCTTTTCACCCTTTAAAGAATTTACAAATTTAAAACCTCCTCCAGGATTAGGTCTAAATTCAAGTTTAATTTTAGCAAATTGCCCAGCTCCACCAGTTTGCTTTTTATGAGTATATTCAATTACCGTTTTTTTAAACCCCTTTTCACCTTTTTCATTTACTTCAAATTCCTCTTTAATAGTTTCTCGGTAAGATACTTTTTGTTGTTTTTTTTCTAATTCTACTTTGAATTCGCTTCTTAATCTTTCCACCAAAATTTCTAAGTGCAATTCACCCATGCCGGCAATAATCATTTGTCTTCCCTCTTTGTCTATTCAATACTTAAAACTAGGGTCTTGGATTTTTAGTTTTTCCAAGGCACTGTGCAATTTGTCGCTACCTTCCTTGTTCTTTGGCTCAATGGCTTGGGAAATTACTGGCTCGGCAAAGTCAATCGCTTCCAGCAGTCAGGGATTTTTCTCGTCGCTGAGGGTATCGCCGGTAACCGTGTATTCTAAACCAATCGCTGCCCCAATATCACCTGCTCCTACTTCTTTAATTTTTTCCCTTTTGTCCGCATGCATTCTAAACAGTTGGCTAATCCTTTCCTTTTTGTCTCGGTTGACATTATAGATATAAGAGTTAGCGGACACTTTTCCCGCATAAACCCGAAAAAAAGTTAATTTATTATTATATTCATCTACTATAATTTTGAAAGCCAGGGTCAAGCAGGATAAAGGACTGTTGCAATTAATCAATTCCTCTTTATTTTTATCCCGGGGTGAGTAAACTGGTATCTCTTTTATATCCAACGGTGAAGGCAAATAATCCACTACGGCATCCAGCACTAACTTCACTCCCACATGTTTATAGGCTGAACCACAAAGGGTTGGAAAATACTTGCCAGTCAAGGTGGCTTGGCGGAGTAATTTTTTTATTTCTCCGACTTGTAATTCTTCACCTTCTAAATATTTCAAAGCCAGTGTTTCATCCTGCTCGACTATTTTTTCAATTAATTCTTGGCGGAATTTCCGAGTTTTTTCTAACAGAGAGGGGGGTATCTCCTTGGTTTGATAATTTTCATCTTTCTCCCCTAATTTAAAGTAGTGGGCTTTTTGTTCCACTAGGTCAACCACTCCTTTTAACTCACTACCGGCTCCGATTGGAAATTGAATGGCCAAAGGAACTGCACCAAGTTTTTCCCGGATGCTTTTGAGAGATTCATCGAATTTTTCTTCATTATCCACCCCATCCATTTTATTAACAAAAATCAAGCGGGGAATTTTATACTTATTAGCCTGCCTTCAAACTGTCTCAGTTTGAGCCTCCACTCCTTTTTTTCCATCCATGACTACTATTGCTCCATCTAGCACTCGCAAAGAACGCTCTACCTCAGCGGTGAAATCCACATGCCCGGGGGTGTCAATAAGGTTGATTTTGTAGTTTTGCTGGTCGTATCTGGATTGCCAGTTAATTCTTACCGCCGCCGAAAATATTGTAATTCCTCTTTTTTTTTCTTGGGGGTCATAGTCAGTAGTAGTGTCGCCGGTGTCAACATTACCAACTCTGTGAGTTTCTCCACCATGATAGAGCATGCGTTCAGTGGTGGTAGTCTTGCCCGCATCAATGTGGGCAGTAATACCAATGTTGCGGATCTGTTCTAATTCTTTTTCCTTATCTGATTCGGCCATATATATTATTAATTTTTTATAGTGTGAAGAGCAAGAATTTATTTTTAGGTCTTTGGGAAGAGTAGAAAAAACAGCATCCTTTTTCATTTCCCACATTATTTATGTCTCGCTTGGATATTTTAACTCTGTTATTATTTATAGCCAGGTTTTTTCCTAAAATATATTTATGCTAAATTGAATTAAACGAAATATTATTGAACCTTTAGACAGGTGATTGATAGGTCTAGGAACATTTTTAAAAGCCTTTATATACCCTCTCGCTACTTGCTTTTTTGCGATTCTCAACTATGTCAAGATGAATCAAGTATTAAGAGATGCCAAGCATCCAAATTGAGCGATTTTCTGCCTCATTTTGTCAGTGGTTTATATCTTATTCACCTTAGGTTTTGGCATCTATTGAATAATTTTAGCAATTAGAACCCCTCCTAAGCCTTAACCAGAAATTTTATACTTTTCATAAAGTTTTTTTTTATCACAATCAGGTTTTAACAAACTTTTAATTGGTTCATAGGTTTTGCGGTGTAAATCACAGATTCCGTGCTGGAAGATAGCAGTTAAGTGGGTATTGTTGGGATAACCTTTATTACCATATCAATCGTAAAGGGGGAATTTCTTGTGTAGTTTTTGCATAATAGCATCCCGAGTTACTTTGGCAATGATGGAAGCAGCCGCAATATTGATTGAGCGGCGGTCGCCACCAATAACACTAACCGTTTTTACCCCTTCTACCACTATTTTTTCTTTCCCATCAACTAAACATAAAACAGGCTTTTTTTTTAGGTTTAAAATAGCCTCTACCATGGCCTCTTTGGTGGCTCCCAAGGGATTTTTTGTTTCCACCTCCCGAACACCTTTGCCAACGACACTATATTCTAAGGCTTCTTTTTTGACTATTCGATAAGCCCTCTTTCTTTGACTGGGACTGAGTATTTTAGAATCTTGGATTAAGGGATTTTGATAACCAGTTGGCAAAATAACCGAAGCGACTATGATTGGTCCGGCTAAGGCTCCCCGTCCGGCTTCATCAACTCCGGCTATAATTGGATAATTCTTTCACAGCCTCAACTCCAAATCTAAACTTTTTTTTGACATTTTACTTTTCCACCACTAAAATTTCTCTAATGTTGCTAAATTAACTAACGAGAACGAGCATTTAACCGCAATCCAAGACCATTATTTATTGCTTTATCGAAAGATTTTGCCTTTCCATGGCTAATGGTTTTTATCTGCTCTTATCTTTAAATAATTCCTTATTCCTTAACTTTTCCACCAAATAACCAATCACATGCTCGGGAGCAGTCTTTAACTCAATATCTTGATTATTTTCTAATTCTTTTAACAAGTATTCAATAATTGCTCATTCTTCGGTATTTTGATACAGGTATAAGGCATTTTTAGTTTAAGGTTTCTTGCTTTTGTGTTTTGGCACATAAAGCCAAATTTGTCTACCATAAAAATCTATTTAAGAAAGTTCGGAGTAAACTGCTCACTTTTCTTTAATTTTCTCGCCAGTTCTATCCATAATGTCCAATGGTCACCAGGTAATTTATCTTTCTTTCAAATTGTATTATCATTAGTATTTTTTCAGCCTTGATTACTTTTGAGTTTTGTTCAGTGTTTTCCAAAACCAGGTAAATCAATATTTTTATTCACCTTCTACTTATATTATTTATTTTAGTAGATACAGATACAATATGTAAGTAAAACGAGAATTGACCCCGCGCCAACCTTATCTAAAAAACTTAACCGAAGGGTTCAGAGGAAATAATATTAATAAATAAGAGTTAAAAAATATTTATTATCTTAATTCTTAAAGTAATATGAAACAAAAATGACTAATAATTGATGGCAACAACCTCCTTCATTCCTCTTATCACGTTGCCGAAAAATTACCTTGAAAAATGAAGCAGGGAACTAATTTTTTCTTTTTACGAGTGTTGATTAGTATTTTTAAAAAAGGTGATTATCAAAAATTATTAGTAGTCTTTGATGGTGGTGGAACTAACTTCCGAAAAAATTTACTACCACAATATAAAGCCCAGCGGGAAGCCATGCCCGAGGAATTATATAAGCAAATGGAAATGGTAAAATCGCTATTAGAGAAAACTAACATTACCTACTTACAATTAGAAAACCATGAGGCCGATGACCTAATTGCTTCTTTTATTAAGAAAAATCAAGAAAAAAATTCTCAAATAATCTTTGATGTCTTTACTCGCGACAAGGATTTACTCCAACTGCTTAGCCAAAATATTAATATCTTAAAGTATATTAATGGGAAAACCACCCTCTATACTTACGAAATTTTTTGTCAAGAATATAATTTTACCCCTCATAATTATATTGACTATTTAAGTTTATTGGGAGACAAGGTTGACAATATTGAGGGAGTAAATGGAATTGGACCAGTTAATGCCAAAAAACTAATTCAACAATTTCAGTCTGTAGAAAATATTTATCAGAAAATAAATAACTTACCGGAAATTACTAAACATCTATTAATAGACAAAGAAAAATTAGTTTTGGTTAATAAAAAACTTATTAGTTTAGCAGAAGATATTTCTTTGCCAATAGATATATACGAAAAATGTAATTTCCGTTGAGAAGAATGAAAAAACAACCCAGAATTAAGACAATTTTGTCAGGAAAATAAATTTAACAGTATTTTGAAATCACTAGATTAAAAGGAAGAGAGTTACCCCCTTCCCCATTTTTTTAGTGAAAAAATTTACTAAGTCTTTTTATTTTTGGGATTTATTTATTTTTTTTTTTTTTTTTTTGGCGTATTACAATTACTCCAATTAAGGAAGTCAAAATAACTACCTCACCTATACCTAGCACTCACGGAGCAATTGTTGATTTATCTTGATTGTTATTTTCTGTATTCTCATTTCCTCTTGCACTTATTATCTCTTTGGCTAATTCTTGTTGCATGCCTTGTGCGAATTCGGCTAACAAAGTGGTATCATTTTCTACCTTAACTCCCTCCTCTCAATTTTTACAATTTTCAGTTTCAACTGTTCTAGCTCTAGCCCGAAGATCTCTTCTTTCTTTTCTAGCTTTTAACTCCTCGCTTTTAACTCCTCGGGGGTAGCCTTGTAAAACACTCCACCACTTCTATATCCTCTACTGTCTCCCATATTATTCAATTACTTTTATTCTTTTATTTAAATAACTATCCTCATAGGTTTCTGATGCTTCCTGATTAAGGAAAGTCTCATATCACTTATTAAAGGATATTTTTTTCTCTTTCAATCAAGGACAATTAAAGAAAGCCAAGGTATTACCAGTTCCTATTGATTTACCACCAATTTGTATAGGCAATTCAACTTTATTATCTAATTTCCCATACCAGTCAGCCTGTTTCATCGCCATTTGGTGAAGGAAACCAGGATAACATTTAAGAACTAAGGGAATATTATTCTGGATAAAAACCTTGTATAAGTGTCTAAACCATCTGGTCCCAGTTAGTTTATCCTTTTCTTCTAACTTATAATTACCAGAAAAAGTAGGTAAGAAAGAGACCACTAGGGCAGGGGGTTTGTTATGTTCCAGTCATTTCTCTGGGGTGTAATGAGAAAGATCCTGGAGTGGGGAATTTTCTCGTTCCGGTCAGTTGGTGGCATGGTAATTGCCATTCACCTCATAAGAGTTATTAGCTCAAGGTTCCAGGGATTGAGAATACTCCGCAGGAATAGCCACGACTTCTCCCTTATCAGGATTTATATAAGGATGTAGTAAATCATAAAGGAAATTACTTAACTCCCAATTATAATCAAACTGGTATCAAATATAGTTTTTGTGGATATCCTTATCTTTCAAAACCAGGTGAGCCTCAAAGAGAAAGCTAAACAATATTTCCTCTTTTTGTTGGTAATTTTCAACTAGATAAAAGAAGGATTTAGGATGACCTTTTTCAGATAGATAATCGCCGTGTTCCTCCTTTCAAACCATTTTACCTCAATCTATTTCAGGTCAGTTATCACCATACTCTACTGAAGCAATAGTAGGAAGTTTAGTTTTTACATTCGTTAAATAAATTTCTAATCGGTTCCCATTCCTTTCTAGGGTTAGTAAAGATTTATTTTCCTCCCATCAATATTCATACACCTCCTGGTAGGAGTTTTCACTAACCTTTTTTAATTCAAACTGAAGGGCTGTTTCTAAAGTATCAGGTCTTACTCAAACTAAGAAACATTTTTTTTCTTTAGGTTTATATAAATAATAGGCCTCCAATTCATCAAAAGGACTTCGTTCGTTTAATTCTTCTTTGTTTTCTGTCATTTTATTTTATTTTGTTATTAGCAGGACAAAATGCCCTATGGTTAATATTAGTGAGGTTATTAATGCCCCCCAAACATATCCTTTTATAAAATCGTTCATAAATATTTTACTTACTTTTTGAATTACTTAGTAATTATCAGTTATTGAAAAAGCGGACAAGAGTTTTAAAAATAGTAGTATTAAAGATGTTCATGGTACCCAAAGTGGGACTCGAACCCACACTGGACGGGTCTTGAATCCGCTGCGTCTACCAATTGCGCGATTTGGGCTTTTTAATATTTTACTTTATTTTACTTCTTCCACCGGCTCCAATAGATAACCAACGAGAAAACTAATTCCTAAACTTGCTAAAATTAGGGAAATAACGACTAGTCATCCATATCGTAAATATCAAGGAAAGTGTTCTTCCAAGGAACTTAAAAAGGAAGGAGCATGTTCTTTGATTAATTCCATTGATTTCTCATTTACTTTCTTTTTTTCATCATCCGATAATTCTTCTATCTTCTCCTTTACTCTTTTCTGTATTTTTTCTGGATTAGTTTCAGTCTTTAGTTCCTCATAAATTCCCAACTCTTTCCAGGTCTTTACCGCAATTTCACGGGCTTGCAAAGGATTTTTACTGGCTCAGGCTTGGTATTCCGATATAAACTTATTTTCACCAATATTCTTTTGAAAGTGAATAATCGCTTCTTTTTTTCCTCAACTGTAATAAATAAATCCAATAATTACTCCTAAAAACAATCCAATAACTAAACCAATTCATCTATAAAATTGCTTTTTCTGTGTGTGTGTGTGTGTGTGTGCTGTCTAACATGTTCATTATTGTCTATACTACTCATTATTAATATTTTTTATTTTGGTAGCGGGGGAAGGATTCGAACCTCCGATCTCCGGATTATGAGCCCGACGAGTTAGACCAACTACTCTACCCCGCGACTTGCTATTAATATATTTTAGGCACTATCTTTTTTTCTTTTTCAGAAAAATATTAGGCAAATTACAATTACTACTCCAATTATTCCGCCAGCAATGGCTATTTTTTGAGAAGTGCTTCATTGGTTTTTCCCCTGATTTGTGGTTTTTTTGGCTCTTTGATCAAAACATTTTTCTAGAAATTCAATGATATCTTCATTTTCTCAGCCATGACCGCGTCCTGGTCGGGTTTTAAACTCCACATTATAGCCTTTTTCTTTTAAAAGGTCAAAAGATTTTTTGCCAGTCCAAAAAGGAACCCATTCGTCTCCGGAATTATTAATAATCAAGCAGGGAGTCTCTTTATTTTTTTCTGAGGGTCTGACTAATAACTTATCTCAGCGGGGCAAAAGACCGCACAGCGAAATAAATCCGCCTAATTTATGCTGAGAAGTTAAGGCGATAGCCAAAGTTAATAAGCCGCCTTGGGAATAACCAGCCACGAAAATTTTTTCAGGTGGAATTCCGCTGGCAATCTCTTCCTCAATAATATCGTTAACATAGTTGGTGGCTCGCCTTAATTGGGGATAATCTAAGTGAATTATTTTATCGGCTTCCGCAAAATTTTTTTTGGGTGGGGGATTATGGGGGCAAACGTCAGTATCCATTAGTTCGTGAGCGTCGCCGGTAATATTTATTCAGCCTTGGCATTGTTTGCCTGGTGCTGGTTGGAAGCCGTGCCACATATCATATTGCAAAGTTGGTGAATGAGGATGAATAACTTTTAATCCTGGAAATTTTTCGGCCAATTGGTCTAGGGAGCCTGCCCCGTAAGTCCCATGGAGAAAAATGAGGGTGGTAGTATTCTTTTTTTTGGTTTTCGCCTCTCGCGGTCGAGGCAATCCATAATTTTTCGCTATTTCTGAATAATATTTTCCAAAATGAGGTTCATTACTCAAAAAGGAGGTCTGGTTATAAATAACTTGTCCGGTTTCTTCATTAATTAAGGCCTCTTTTACTTCTCTATCGTCTAGTTCTCATTCTCTTCGCCTTCATTTGGATTTTATTATTGTGTTTCCATGAGGGCCTTTTTCTTTTTTGTAACTGCTTTTCACGTATTTAAATATTGCTTCGGTTGCTTCCGAAAAATCTTGTCTGTCTAATTTAACTATCTCAATTTTGGCTTTATTTTTTTCGTCGTAAATCCAAGCATGAAGTTTTTCATAATCAAAATTAACCTCCTCCAAAATTTTGTCGTATCTTTCTTTGGCAATTTGCTCGGGACTTTTTCCTCGGAAGCGGACTATCCCTCGATAAGGTTTTTTCAAGTGTTCGCGAATTGCTTCTAATTTCTTTTCAACTTGTATTTCACTGTCTTTAATTCGCACAAAATCTCCCTTTCTGGTTATAATTCATTCACTCGGACTATTAATTATTCTCTGCTTTGTCATCCCACGAAATTTTTGTTTATTATCTTAACCCTGTTTTTTTTCCGGTAAATTATTATTCCTAGGGCAATTAACACTAAGAGGACAAAAACAACTGGAATAACTACTCTTCATGGGAATTTGTTGGGCGAATTAGTTTGCTTTTGGGAGGAATAAGTTTCCAAATTTTTTA